ATTGGTTCCGGTTGCGGTTGGTTGCGGTTCAACCAGTCAGTTTTTCAATCGCCCGCAACCGTCGGAAATCGCAATTACTCCGTTTGCGGGTGGCGGCGGTGCAACCAGTCGCCCCCTTAATAACAACACAATTAACGCGCGGGTTGAATAAACCAACATTAACCCTACCTTTGATAATCCAATTTCACCGCAGAAAAAACACAATTCCACCTCCAAACAACCACATTTATGATATTAATAAAACCTATAAATTAATTAAACGTGGGAATAGATATGATATTTGTTTTGGCTATAAATAAAATTCAGAATGCATTCGATTTCGACACGCGTCCCCTATCTTAATTAAACAAAAAGCAGTTGGCAAAATGTACAAAAAACGAAATTTGCAAAATATCTCACAAAAAACAATTTTTGATATTATATTTTTTTTCTAAATATCAAAATGAATTGTTATAGTACTTTTCTACGATTTTGTGGGAATCTATCTTTTAAAAATCGGTACGTTTTTCTATTTGATCTTATTTGTTCTCCAATATTTTATCTATTTCCTCTGTTTCTTATAGTTTATCTAATCTATTCAAATACTCTTTTGGTTAATTTCGTTTTCTGTGATATTCTGATCATTTTTTTTATGCACATAAGGTGTTCGAGAAAATGTTTGCAACAGAAAACTGTAGCAGATGACCTGTCGTTTGTGAAAAATGATTTGCGTTCTGCGGTAAATGACCTACAGTCTACGGTAGATGACCTACAGTATGGCAGACGACACACGATTTGCTCGCAGGCCGTAGGTCGTATGACCCGCGACACTCCCTTTCCAAAAAAGATCAATACACCAAAGACTACACTTAGATTTATTGGATTTGTTGCTAAAATATCGGTATTAAACCCGAAACTCCCGGCAGACGGCCAGTGACCCAAGTAAACGAAAGAATCGGTTACATTTTTCATATAATCTCCTCTTATAGTTAAACTAAAAAAAGAACTCTGTCCTTTTTTTATTGTATCACTTCTTCTATTTATTTAGTATTATTTCTTATTTATCTTTTTTTTTATGCGGCCTACGACCAGATCATGTGTCTCTTTGTAATAATGTAATATTATAATAATAATAAATCTTGAATTCTCAACAATTTTAGAATAAATCTCAATTAACAAAATGTGACTTAGTATTTGAACATCAACAAAAAGCCTTATGTTATAAAAATGATATATTGATTACCTTTTGTCTCATTGGGAAAAAAAATGATAAGATGGGTAAATATCGTTATACTAATAACAAGAATCGTAGAAAATTACAAGAACACCTATATGATTAAGCATAATGATACGTGTGCCCTAGATTTCTTCTTCATCTTCTTGTTCATTGCAGATTCTTTGTCCGACTACGAATAAGCTCTACATGTGCTTAAGACAGAAGAGATGATTTTTCTAAGATATTTTAATTTCTCTCTCTATCACTGTGTGTCCACGTCATGGGAGACGGACGAGAAAAAAAAATCTCCGTGATATTTACAGTTATACCCTCCACGTGTCACCTCGTGTCCGTTCTCTGGGCCCCCACAAGTAACCCCACATATATAACTAAAAATATGCAATTTATTTATAAATTTTCTAAAAGCTTAATAAAAATATCCTAGAAAATCACGGAGAACGAACACCGAGGCGACACGTGATACACATACACATACGTATACACACATATACATTAAAAAAACATGCGTCGAACCGCATCAAATTTCTTCTCGTGTATATTTTGGTAGTAAAATTCATCTATTTATTTTTTCAATTTTTGTATTTATTAAATGTTTTTTGAAGAGTTATTTTTTTTTTCTAGGTCGATATTTTTATGTTTACGAGAGGACTGGGTTGGGCCAAGCTACGGTGTACCGGTTGTTAAGCCAACCGGGCAGCTAAGTTGGTATGGAAGAACTGCTGCGCCGCGGGAAATCCTTCTTCCCCGCGCTTCATTATTTCGTAGCCATGAGCCCTGAAACATCAGCAAGTAAATCAAGGAAGTCAAGGGGACAAGGGATGCCTCTTTAATCCCTCATAGATATTTCAAAGGGAGCGACTCATTGCATAGCTAGCTACCCTCGACAAACGCAATGGTTACGGTTTTCGGCGACTTCAGTCAATTGGAAAACGCAGCATTTTAAATCGCAATTTTATACTTGCGTTTTGTTAAGTTTCAAGACGTTTGATAAAAAAAACCAAAATATACTCTTAAAAAAAACATTTTAAATTATAAAATTATTTTTTTTACTTAAAAATAAATTAAATTGATAAGATTTATCATGTTAATTTTTTTTATAAAATTGATAAATAGTTTTTTCAAATATAATAAAAATTAATTGCAACTATTGTAAAATATATATAAAAATTATATTTTTTGATAATTTACATTAAACCGCAATCGTACTCAACTAATCATTCGATTTTAATTGCAACCATAATTGCTGTCAACAGTCAATTGTCAATCAGTCAATATTAACCGTCCACAATCGCCAACAAACGTATTAAAAACGCTAACACCCACAAACGCAACTGAAGCGGCATAACAAGTCGGGCCCTAAATATTGTTTCTCAATCATTAATTCAGACTAAATTTAGTTATGAAAACTCCATTTAATGATTGAACATATTAAAATAAAAATAATGTATTTATTACAATTATGGTTAATAGATACCCTTCTTTTTGACCAACTAAGTGGTTGAAATAATAAATCAACATTATTATTTGTCGCACCCAAGTTTGGGTGGTCTAGTGGTGAGAGAACATACAAAGCATGCTCTCACTCTGGGTTCAAACCCAAGCGTCGGGAGGGACATTCACCTGGGTTTTTCCGGTCTTCTGGGAGATGTAGTCGGACCAAAAGCCCGGTGAACTTTCGGATTATAAAAAAACATTATTATTTATCGCGATACATGGTGATTTCGAGAATATATATATACGTGGAATAAAATACACAACGTTTTAAATTTCTCATATATACTCCATGTTAATCTTAATTATCTAATATGCCTCTTTCCATTCTATCATATTTTTTATCCAAATCAATTTTAAATTTTCACTAACTGATAAATTTTTATTAGATTTTAAAATAAAGTATAAAAGAATCCAAAAACAAAATCAGCTTACATTATTTATAATCTGACTGAAATATAAATGTAATAAAAAAAATTAAAAGTTAAAAATACAAGGGGTTTTTTTTAATAAAGATCCTTCTAATTCTAAGTTTAATAATTTTGTTGGACCGTTTCACAATTCTTTAATTTTTCTACTTTTTTCCCTCCCTTCTTTTCATTTTACTATTCCTAATTTATAATTAACTGTAAACACAAAACATGAAATCCTAATCCTAAACTACTCTAAACTCTCGACCACATTCTATATATGCTAAACCAATAGTAAATCCTAAAAATTTAACTTGTTCTAACCATTAAAATTTAAGATTTATTTAAAATTTAGGATTTAGATTAGCATATTAGAATTTAAGATTCTGAGTTTATTAATCATGGTTTAGAATTAAGTGTGTAAATTAGAAATAATAAAAGGAGAAAAAATAATTTAAAAAAAATTACCGAACGTTTGGTCCAATAAGATTATTAGGAGGTAAAATATATTATATAATTGTTACAAATCGATGTAATTTCTCGCTAAAAAGTAAACCACCAAACTTTATGCACTAATATTTACACAAAAAGACCCACCTCCAAATGACCAAGCTTATGATAGAAAAAAAAAACTTTTAAAAGGTGGAAATAAATATAACAATAAATAGAAACTCATAACAAAATTCAGGATGCATTCAAATAGAAATCCTCTGTCTTTTTTAATTTCTTAATCCAAATAATCACATAAGATTCTATAATTTTATCCAAACAAGCTATGGAGTCGATCTCAAAGACAACATCGTTGGTGTTCAAAGTACTTCGCCGGAAGACGGAGCTAATCTCTCCGGCGAAGCCAATGCCACATGAGCTGAAGATCCTCTCCGAATTAATTGATGATCAAATCGGTCTAAGACGACTCGATCATTTTATCTTTTTCTACAGACACAACCCTTCGTCCATATGATCAGCTCCGCCCCCGCCCAAGTGATCCACAAAGCCCTGGCCGAAACGTTCGTTTACTATTACCCGTTTGCCGGCCGACTTAGGGAGGGGCCTAACGGTGGATTGTAACGGAGAAGGTGCAATGTTTGTCGAGGCCGATGCTGACGTGGCTCTCGATGACTTCGGGCAAGATCTTCAACCCCCTCTCCCTTGTTTAGAGGAGCTTCTGCTTGATGCCGAGGGTCCGCTAGGGTTTCTTGATTCTCCATTGCTTTTATCTTCATGTTACATCACATGCCACAGAAATTACCTCAAATCACTATGGCTTTTTTTAAAATAATAATTAATATTCCCAAGACAAGTAATCAAGTTTTCTAATGATCAACATCTGTCGTTTTTTTTTTATAATATGTGATTGCCGGGAGTTCGAAATTTGGGTGTGGACAACACTTTGTGCTTCCACAACCACCAGACCATCCACACCGGACAAACAACATCTGTCGTGCCATGCCATGCTACGAACTTCTGCGGATACATTAATTACTTGCAAAGACTCATGTTTTAGAAACTGGTTTACAAAAAGAGAGTGTGTGTGTATATATCTATATATCATTTCATGTTTATAACTCTCAACTAAGAGTCTAGAGGGTATGGACGTGGTCCGGTAAGCCCTTAATTATGACACTTATTTCCTAAAACGGTGCAGGTTACGCCGTTAAAATATTGAGGTTTTATCTTCACCGTCAGCTTTAACCATGTCATGTGTGACGGTGCCGGTTGCAGACTTTTCTTAAGAACCTCGAGGAGCTGGCCGTGGCTCAAACGCGCCCTCTATCCCACCGGTCTGGGACCGTCACCTCTTGACCGCGAGGGACCCACCGCGTGTAACACACGCGCACCCTGAGTACGACGATGCTGGTTATTCCATCCCAGAGGACCCCATGGTTCTCCGCTCGTTCTTCTTCGGCTCTCAAGAGATCTCAGCCATACGCAGACTCATCCCGCCCGAACTCGGCGGCCGCGTCACCACGTTCGACCTGCTGGCTTCATTCCTCTGGCATTGCCGAACCATCGCCCTGAACCGCCCCCCAGTTTCCAAAATGCGACTGGCTATCGCCATGAGCCATAGAGACCGTGAGAGAACTATCAGAACGACCTCTGGAATTTGCGTTAAGGCTGGTGCAAGAGGCGAAATCCAGGGCGACGGAAGAGTACGTACGTCAGGTCCATCGATCTGTTAGTTATAACGACAGGCAGGCGACCGCCGGCGTTACGGGATACCTGCTGTGTCCGACGTAAGACGTTTAGGTTTGGACGACGTGGACCTTGGGTGGGGCCCGCCGGTGCACGGAGGGCTGACGGAGGGAGCCCGTTGGGGAATTAGCTGGCTCATACCGTGGAAGAACAAGAACAAGAACGGCGAGACCAGAACCGTCGTGCAAGTTATATTGCCCGAACCGGCTATGGAGCGGTTCGCGGAACAGCTCGCTCTTGTCTTCGACACTGACCAAAGCATCCAGCCGATAAGGTCTTCGCTCTAGAATTAAACGTATGCATTCCATATTAATAGTTGATGAATAATTAACATCGATAAGAATAAAAAGGGGCCGAGAAGTCGTCCTGTCCATGTCTCGACTTTATATTATATGTTGGTTGAAGAAACAAGAATTTTTATTTACATATACATATATTTTAAGATTTTATTTACGAGAATTGAAAACGGTTTCGGATCAGAAAAAATACCGTTTTGTTGGTTCGGTTCAATCCGATTTCGAAGAACCGAACCAAAACGACCACCTAATCGCAACTAAAACTCTACATGCGAACATGCTACTTACGAACTACTTCTGATAAAACCCAATGTTTTTTTCAAGGATATTTTAATTTCTCTCTCTGCGTGTCCACGTCATGAGGGAGACGGAAGAGAAAAAAAATCTCCGATCCCAACAGATGAACACATGGCATAACCGTACAAATCTCGTGATATTTACAACTATGTCCTCCACGTGTCACCTCGGTGTTCGTTCTCTGAGCCCCTCCACAAGTACGGTCACCAACCGCGTTCACTCAGTCTTCTTCGCCTGTTCGAGAAACATAACACCTTCCATGGCCGCTAAGTCCGTCGCAACGCCTCTCTCCGACCACCGCTTCTTGATATTCCCAAATTGCCCCCGCTCTTCTCGTTTCCCCACGCGCTGGCTCTCCTGTTCGTCGTCGAAGCGTGATGGCGGTCCTGCGTCCGTCGCCGCCGTTGATTGTTCCCGTGGGTTGGGCCTGACTCGGTGTAACTCGGTCCTCTCAACTCGCCGTCGACTCGTTCCGGCTCGCGCCATCGACTCGGACTTCCCCCACCCGCTTGGCCTGGTGAGATTTAAGATGCGATTGATTGAGGTGTTGAAGCTCTACCCTTGTTTGGATGCTGAGAACAAAAATTTCTCGTGTTTGCTGGAATTTCCCGACTTCTTTGTTTGTTGCATTTCGTTCAGCTCATCGAGAATTGCTTGTGATTCTGAATCTTAAATTGATCGTTGATTTTGCTGGTGGGTCTTGTGTGATTTTTTGAATCTCTCAAGGCATCTGAAGATTTTGGGAAAAGTAAAGCATACGAAGAATGGGATTCATGGACGGCGAAATTTTCCGGTGCGGCAAATCTTCCATTTCTGATGCTACAGTTACCGCAGATTATCCTCAATGCCCAGAATCTTATGGCGGGAAACAAAGCTGCCCTTTTCGCAGTCCCATGGCTAGTAATCTATTTTGATCTCCGACTAGTCATATGATATTCCACGTTGTATTCTCTAGTCTTTGTATGAAGCATTCGTCTTTATGGTCGTGTCATTGTATGGAATGCCTAATTCATTATTGTTCCCGAATCCGAGATTAAGTAATTCAAATGCAGGGGATGCTAACTGGTTTGCTAGGGAACCTCTCGTTGCTGTCGTATTTTGCCAAGAAGAAAGAGAAGGAAGCAGTTTTGGTTCAGACACTGGGAATTATTACAACCTACATTGTTCTCTCGCAGCTAAGAATGGCTGAGGCAATGCCTTTGCCGCATTTTGTCGCCACTTCTACCGTTGTGACGATGGGTCTCATTTTGAACTTTATGAATTACTTTGGTATGCTTAATGCCACAATATGGCAGTTGTGGGAAGACTTTATCACTATCGGTGGGGTCTCCGTGCTGCCTCAAGTAATCTCCTCTTTTATAACTTGTTTCCTCACAGAATCAATTTAATCCATTCAAAGCTAAACACTTTTTTAACTGAAATTTGCAGATCATGTGGTCTACTTTTATCCCGTATGTACCAAACAGCATCGTGCCAGGAGCCATGGCTTTCGTTATTGCTGTAGCAGCAGTAACCATGGTGAGCCCATTAAGTATCTTTGTTACTTTCTCCCGGTGTTTATTCTCTGTAATCTTGTAGATGGACCATTGCATAAGCTTGCGAGTCATAGTGAAGACACCGAGCAAACATTGAACTAACTGCAGATCATTTATACGATTTCCCTGTAGTTTCATTGACGAATCCTTGTGTTTCAGTAGGCAACATGCATATATTTTGTTTAACTTCCCGTTGCTAAGATTGCAGGCTCGGATAGGGAAACTCTCAGAGAAAGGTGTTAGGTTTGTTGGATCAATTTCTGGATGGACGGCAACACTCCTTTTCATGTGGATGCCCATATCCCAGATGGTATTATGGCTCTTCTTCTTCTACTCTTTTCCTCGGATCAGTCTAATCCTGTTTTTCTTTTTCTGGCGCGCATCTGATGAGGCCCTTCTTTCTTTGCAGTGGACGAATTTCCTGAACCCTGACAACATAAAAGGACTGTCTCCTTACACGATGGTACTTGCCATGATGGGGAATGGGCTTCTGGTCCCTCGAGCGTTATTTATCCGCGATCTCATGTGGTAATACCTTCAAATCTGCCCGAGCCTTTCATCTGAATGAACTGCAATGTATTGATGCGAAAATTTCAGCATTTTGATCGCCAAAGTCACGAGCTTTATTCATCTAATCCGATATAAGGACTATACCTACGAGAATTCTTGACGCAGGTTCACTGGCTCGGCATGGTCAACCCTCTTTTACGGATACGGCAACATCCTATGCCTATACATGTAAGATTCTTCAAGGGTTTGTTAGAAAATATTCCCAGCTAGAATTCAAACATAAATATCCATTTTACCCGCAGATTTAACTGTGCGAGCAAGGCGTTCTTCGTGGCGGCTACAATCAGTTTGGTCTCATGGATAGGTTCGTGGCCTCGGAAGGCAAATCCTTCATATTCGTTAGATATAATCGAAATCATCTCACAAAAAGGTTTTTCGGTTATCCGACAGGACTGACTTTGTGGGGAGACGCAGTGGCTTATGGACACAAATCCCCATTTAGATCCATGAAAGAGTTGGTTTGGGGATCATAACTCAATATATTCAGGCAAATCCCAGAGAGGAGAGGAAGCTGTATGCTACTGCTAGGTACAGCAAAGACAAGGGAGGTTGTTGCTGTTGTCACTGTGACATTTTATAGTTTCATATAATTTTGTAACGTTGTAGATGTAATGAAGAAAATGGTTCAGTTCAGACAATGAAATCATAATTTCTTATGTTATGCCCCCTTATATATATATATATTATAGGCATAATTTCGTAGATAAAAATAAAAAATAGTTACAAAATGGTGTTATTATTTCGTCCTTAACCATAGCATACAAACCCATTGGGCCTTTAGTACTGAGAAGCCCAATGGGCCCATTGACCCATAAATCATTTTCTCTCTCTCTCGCTCGTTTTTGTACTTTGCCGGTTTGCCTGAACCATAATCACGCTGTCGAAGGGCATTCGGACTGAAGCCCTAGAATCATTCAAAAATAATAGTCCTAGTGAGGAGAATCACGAGAGACGGACAAAAAAATGGAGGAATCGAAGCCAATGGCTGCGCAGCAGCAGCAGCTGCAACAACCGAGGCAGCAACAGCAACAGCAACAGCAACAACAGCAAATCCTCCTTCAACACCGACTGCAGCAGCAGCAACAACAGCAACAGCGTCAACAACAACTCCTGTTGCAGCAGTTGCAGAAGCAGCAACAACAAGCGGCGATGTCGAGGTTCCCGTCGAACATCGACGTGCATCTCCGGCCTCCTGGGTTTATTCAGAACCGACCCATCAATCCATCTCAGCCTCTCCCTAACCCTAACCCTAGTTCTAGCCCTAATTTGATTCAGCAGGCTCCGAACTTGCAGCATCAGCAGCAGAATCTTTCGAGTAATCAGCAGCTTCAGCAGCAGCAACAGCAACAGAAATTGATGCGGCCGTTGAACCACATGGAGCTACAGTTCGCTTACCAGGATGCTTGGCGTGTCTGCCACCCGGATTTCAAGCGACCTTTCACTTCTCTTGAGGACGCTTGCGAAAGGTCCGTATAATTCGAATAGTGAAATTTATGGTTTCTTGTCATATTTTGATTTGCTGGCTCTTCTATGGATTGTGTTTTCTGATATTTTGCAATGCTGAGAATGTTATTGAGAGCATGTGTATGCCTTCATCTCATGTTTTTCCTCTGAAGTTGCTAAAATTTATAAACATGGTGTCTTGTTGTCGAAATGGCATCTCCATTATGACTTACCATTATGGGCAATAGAAAAGTGAAAGAAATGATCAAAGCTACTTCTGGGTTCAGGTCATTTCTGGTGCATTCGCTTCCCGTAATGATTCAAAAATCACTTCTTTCCATGATTATTGGATGGAAGCTTTTTATCTGAGGCATTCGGTTGGATGATTTGTCCGGTTTACTTGACCCTGTAGAGGAATACAGAGCTAGCTTGATTTGGCGTATCAAAGTTTTGCTTCCTGAATGTTTTTCTCTATTGATTAAGACATACATTTTATGCCTTCCTCTTTGGTACTCGCAGTGATGTTTGTTCAACTTTTTATAACTAATATTGATAATATCTTAGAAGGGGTTGCATAAGTACATTAAAATTGTCTACTTGGTTAGGAGTTACAGCTATTCTGTAAAGTTTTCAGTTCAATACATGAAATCATGGGTTCTACTTTTGAACTGAAATACTTGTATTGCTCTGAGACTTGTTCTTGCCTCTGTCATGTATGTCCTGCAAATACTAGACGCTGTATCACTAGAAAGGTACGCCTTTTTTTAACTTCTGGGATTGATTATTGTTTCTATTTGATCCATCAGTGCGTGACTGCATGTGAGTTTCGAGATTTGCCTGTAAATTTGTTCTCATGCCGAATTCAGTGTGGTATAATTGACATGATTATTAGAGTTTTGGAAGCTATTTGGAAGCATGTTCTCTCCTTACTGGCTATAGTTTCTAGCGACTACTACATAGTTATAGCCATGGACAGTTGTTTACAGTGAAAATCTGGAATATTTGTTATAAGTTTCTGTAACCCAAATATTTCTTGTACTTTGGTTAGCCATATTCATTGCCATGATTTAACGTTGTAGATATGTTTTGTTATGGTTATTCCTCATTTTCTCTCTTCCTTCATGACTTATGCAGATTATTGCCTTACCACGTCGTAGCAGATTATGAAGCAGAAGAGGATGACAGAATCCTTGATTCAGACACAACAGGCCAGACCCTATCTCGCTCCCAGCAATGGGATAACAACATTGCTGCTAAAGTGGCAGAGTTCACAGCAACGTTTGAAAAACAAGCCCTAGCCTTTAACATAATAACTCGAAAGAGAGCCGTGGGAGAATTTAGGTCAGAGGAAAGGTTGATGATAGAACAAGCTTTGCTCCAAGAAGAGAGAAAAGCATTGTTCGAATTGAAAGCAGAGATGGATCGGGAGAAGGCTGGGCGTGAGGCTCAGGAGGCTAAGTTGCGAATGGCAGCCATGGCACAGGCAGGACAAGTAAGGTCAGAGTCGCAAGCCCATGCTGAGATCATTGCTCGCAACCCATTAAGAGCAAATGCGATTGCAAATCAGGGAAGCCATAATCCACTTAGTCATGAGATGGGAGAACAGGGACGCAACGTGAACCCTGACGAGTTGATGATGAATGGCTGGGGAAACAGCAGCCAGAGAGATGAGAAGGAACCCTCGGAAGATTTCTTGAATGATGAGGAAAATGAAAACGGAGAGACAGGTGAACAAGAGAACTGGCGTGAAGGTGGAGAATTCGATTTGAATAGCCGGTAACGAATGAAGAGAGAGGCTTCTTAGGTAAAAGGATGGGTTTCAGTGTTCTTAGGTAAAGGATGTTTCCAATACCCAATGGGACCGGGTTGGAACTATTACGTGATTGGGTCGGGTTGAAGTCTATGATCCTGAAATCTTCAAGTCAGAATCTGCTTAAGGTTGGCCACAACCCACTGTACCAAAGGGAAAACAGGTAAATGCTCTGCAGCTTCTCTGTTTTGTGTTCATAGCTTCTGTTAGATGTGCATATAAAGCTGATGATATGAAAACATTCTTCATTGTTCAATCTGCGTACCAAAATCAGGGAAAAGATCCGTACTTGTACTTTTGTCAGTACTTCAGCTATTTGATCTCTTCTGTTTCACAAACTAGCACTCAGAGTTTTTTGTAGGACAAAAAAGAAAGAAACTTTTTCACCGGTCTTAAAGGCACTCATAATAATGTTTTATTTATTATTAATCTTTTATTTAATTTTTTTTCAAAGTATCTTGAACCATTGGCTTGTGGGGTCGCAGCTAGCATCTTTGCTCAAACACTTGCAGGGGTTGGCCACAACGTTGTTCATGGAGTCGACGTCCAGACATAGCGAAGAACCGAGTCTCGTCTTGAACGACAAATGCATTTTAGAAGCCGATACCCTTTCGATCTTCGAACACTTCTTCCCGAGTTTCACTCTTCTTCCACCCGTTACATCGCCTTCCAAGCACAATACCGATCTGTGATCTTTCATCACAAGAGTTCCGATATGACCATTATAACTCCATGGCTCATGCCTCCCGCACGGTCCTAACGTGAGTTCTGACCTTCTTTTACGGGAGTTCCTCACGACGCAAAACCCGGTTAACGGGTGGAAAATCCTGTTGTGTTGATTGTGCGAAACCCCGGGTCCTGCCATTTCAGCGAAAGCTCGAGCCTTTAGAGATAGGTTTTTTTAAAAACTGTCAATGTTACTGAAAGATGAGGAATGTTACCTTTGTAGGGTGGCTGAATGACAGAGATTCTACGCAAGAAGGTGGAGTTGTGAATGTGGTGCCAGTTAGGGTTCAACATTCCGTACGTCTCGACCAAACCTCTCTTGCCTTGTCTTAGGTAATAGTCTCCGGCCAGTGCCCAGATCGCCCAGTCCACGTCTTTCTCCGCCGCCCATCCCAACATGCAATTCATGTACCTATTTAGAAAGAAGAAAAAAATCACACACGTAATATATAGACCCTACGATGAAGATAAATTCGTTTTAAACAGTGTGTGTATATATATATATACACACACCTGTTTCCGTCGCCATCTCCGCCACCTTGATTGGTCCCGAACTCGCTCAAGAACAGAGGGAACCCTTTTTCGAGAAGGAAGCCGCCATTGTTTCTAACTTTGCCAAGAATCTTGGCGCAGAAATCGTTAAGGTTGTGTGATCTCCAGGAGCCACGGCCGTCGGAGAAGCTGTACCAGTGGAGCTCGAACACGAGTTTGCTCTTGAAGCTGACGTGGACGGGCAGATGTTCGAGGAAGGAGAGGTCGGTGTCGAAGTTAATGCCGGAGAGGATTACCAGAACGTTAGGGTTTGAGGCATGCACTGCTTCTGCTCCTTGTTGCATGTACCTTTCCATATCATACACAATAATAATATATTAGTTTTAGAATTTCAAACAGAAAAAAAAAACCGTTATTTTTTAAAAAAATTTGCGAAGTTTAAGGACAACAGACAGCTTCATCACAAGCTTGTGTCTTGTCTTAAGTTAGAGAGAAAACAGATTAGCGTGCATAAGCCATGGAAGTTGCATGTGTACCTTAAAACGATGGATTAGAAAGTCACGAGTTCATGATTCCGATAGTTTAATCACATAATTAAGTAATTAAGACGTACTTGTACCAAACATGAGGGTATTCTTTAGGGCCTCTAAGCTCGTTCCTGAGGCTCATACCGATCACATTCTTTACATTCCTAAAGGACGCGGCCATTTTCTTGAGACCCAAGATCCAGAGATTAGGGTCGAATTCCGGGTCCCCGAAGAACGCATCCGGGTCGTGGTTGCCGCAGCACCATCCCGGAACCGTTTTGTGGTTGTCCAGAATCACCATCACCCCGTATCTCCCCATACTCGACACCACGGCCTGGACAAGTTTGAGCAATGCAGCTAGGACTGATATATATATACACATGTAAAGATGTGACTTTGTTGAATAGATGTGTATGTATACGTGTATATATAGTAAAGATGATCATGGTAAATGTATCATGAACATGCATATACATACATACATACATACATACCTCAAAGGCATTGAAGAGAGGAAGGTGAAGAATGGAGGGGTTATGCCTTCGAATGCCATCGAGCTCTTGGAACAGACGGTATCTCTGGAAGGACTGAGTGACGGTGACATGGAAAGCCAGAGTGTCATTGGTCATCAGTTCGAGAGGCCAAGTGAATCTGACGCAATTAAAGCCCATGAATCTGATCCTCTCGGAGATCGAATCCATTGGCTGCTTGTGTAATCCTTCGGCCACCACCGGCTGAAGATGGGACGGCCAGTTGGCGCACGCCAGCTTCACTCTGTGGCCCCTCTCGTCCACTATCCAACGCGACCTCGTCGACAGCCCGTCCGAAAATACCGATCCATCATTCGTCATGACGAGAATTGAAGACGAGAGGATGAACACGAAGCTACAAGGGATGAGCTTCGCCATGTCTGGCTGTTGAGGAATCTAATGTGGTCTGGTGTGTGTGTATATATATGTATATGTTTATATACATGATTTTTTGTGAGTTTTTCTTTGGGGATATCAAAAATAGAATTTTGAAAATTTTGGTTCTTTATTTTCTAACGTTGTAATGATGAAACAGTTGGATGGTGCGAAGAGTATAATAACATGTTCAATATGAACCATTTTGCATGCTAATTTTGTTTAATGGAATAATGTGATTTTAATTAAGCTGGTTTACCAATTAATTAAATTCCAATTTCTCTACCAATCAATTAATTTAATAACGTGTCAAACCAAAGAATATTTTTCCACGTAACCCTTCAGCCTATTGCTGTAAAAACCCGTCGGGAATGACCAAAATCTCAGGTAAATGAGCAGTGAAATTCATAATTTCGGATATTACAAGCGTTAAATAAAAATAAAAATAAAATGCGACCATATGTTCGAGTCCATCTGTCAGCGCTCTACCAAGTGTCGCAAGTATTAGTTGACACGTGGCAGCCGCACCACAACTTGAGCTGCATGTCATCTCTGCAAAACTAACCGAAACTAATGGTGCAAAAAATGAGAAAAACAAAAAAAAAAAAAGGAAAAATAATTTATAATTAGATGGGATACTGTACATATAAAAGTATATATTTACGGAAAAAAATACCGATTTATTTTTATTGGTATACAGAGGAAATAGAAAAACGAATCTTTGGTAGCTTGGATAAGGAGTGGACCGTAGGCGATAGGTTTCAGGAAAGTACAATGTACGAATACACATACTTTATAATAAAGTAACCATAATCTTATTATTGTAAAATAAAATAATTTCTGTTGTGAGGTAAAACGAATTCTTGGAAATTGGGGAAATGGAAACTAAGAACACATGCACATATATGTATATAATAATGGCTTCGTCAGTTCCTTATCTCTTAAACCCTCCAGGTCCCTCTCTCCTCTCATTGGACCTCTTCCTCTCTCTGCCTATATAACTTCACATGTCCCTTCTCAGATTCCCTCAAGCTTCCCTCGGATTGTCCCCCGAAAGCCCACAAATCTAAATCCCGTGAAGAAAAGGAAAACTTGTTCTGAGCCCCACAGAGAAGATGAAGAGAGGCCATCCCGAGACCTGGGTCGACCAATCGTCTGGTGAAGGTCCTTCGATGGCGGACAAGGGTAAGAACGCGGTTTGGACCAAGGAAGACGGAATATGCGACAGCATGGACGAGCTTCTCGCGGTTCTCGGCTACAAGATCCGGTCTTCGGACATCGCCCAAGTGGCTCAGAAGCTCGAGCAGCTCGAGATGACCCTGACTCGGGCCGATGTCACCTCCGGTGTCCTAAACGACACCGTTCACTACAACCCCTCCGATCTCTCCGGCTGGATCGAGAGCATGCTCTGCGGGTTCGACAACCCGGCGGATCTCGTCCTGACCCAGCCCGGGTTCTGCGGAGACGGATCCGAACACGACGACCTCAGGGCGATCCCGGGTCTGTCGGCGTACCCGACGGATGACCCGGACGAGGAGAATCAGAGCAAGAGGATGAGACTCGGGCCATGGTACGACCAAGCGACCGGGTCGTCCCGATCGGTGGTGCTCGTGGACTCGCAGGAGGCCGGAGTCAGACTCGTCCACGCTCTCATGGCGTGCGCCGAGGCCGTTCAGCGTTAGCCATATTCATTGCCATGATTTAACGTTGTAGATATGTTTTGTTATGGTTATTCCTCATTTTCTCTCTTCCTTCATGACTTATGCAGATTATTGCCTTACCACGTCGTAGCAGATTATGACAGCAGGGAAACATGGAGCTCGCCGACGCGCTGGTGAAGCGCGTGGGTCTACTCGCGGCATGTCAGGCCGGAGCCATGGGGAAAGTGGCCACGTACTTCGCCGAGGCCTTGGCCCGGAGAATATACCAAATCTTCCCCGGCGACACCGTATTCTCCGGCGACTCATACGACGACGTCTTACAGATGCACTTCTACGAGTCGTGCCCGTATCTCAAATTCGCCCACTTCACGGCCAATCAAGCCCTTCTCGAGGCCCTCGCCGATGCTCGTGAAGTTCACGTCGTGGACCTCGGCCTCCGACAAGGGATGCAGTGGCCGGCTCTAATGCAGGCCTTGGCCCTCCGCGACGGCGGACCTCCGTTCTTCCGTCTCACCGGCATCGGACCGCCGCGGTCGGAGAGCTTCGACGGGGTTCATCAAGTTGGTTGGAAGCTCGCTCAGTATGCGGACAACATCGGCATCGATTTCGAGTTCAAGGGCTTGGTCGTCGACAGTTTGTCGGATCTCGAACCCGAGATGTTCGAGATTCGACCCGAATCGGAGACCCTCGTGGTGAATTCCGTGTTCGAGCTTCACCCACTTCTCGCCCGAGCCGGCTCCGTCGAGAAGGTACTCGCCACCGTGAAGAAACTTCGACCGGAGGTCATGACGGTGGTGGAGCAGGAGGCGAATCACAACGGTGTCGTTTTCCTCGACAGGTTCAACGAGGCGCTTCACTACTACTCGAGCCTGTTCGACTCGCTCGAGAGCAGCGTGCAGAGTGAGGACCGAGTCATGTCGGAGGTGTACCTGGGGAGACAGATTGTGAATGTGGTGGCGGCGGAGGGGGGAGACCGAGTCGAGCGGCACGAGAGGCTGGCTCAGTGGGGGAACAGGATGAGATCGGCCGGGTTCGGACCGGTTCATCTGGGGTCGAACGCGTTCAAGCAAGCGAGCATGCTTGTGGCGATCTTCGGCGGCGGCGGAGGCGATGACTACAGAGTGGAGGAGAAAGACGGATGTCTCATGCTCGGGTGGCACACTCGGCCTCTAATCTCCACATCGGCCTGGAAACTCGGTGAGTCGCGGCGGCGGTGAGTCGACTCGGGGAGAGGAGGATTACGTCACGGAGAGTGCTAGTTATGTTTTGCTAAACATGCCCCAGCAGTTTCGTTAATTTACAGTTTTAGCCCAATGTTTTACGCTTCTGAAAGTTTAAGGACCCTTTTGGGGGTCATCGAGTTTTTTTGTTTTGGTTCCTTCCACGTCTGTCACCAAACCAGAGCGAGAAAATCAATGTGTGTAATCTAACCGCGCTGTTTCAAATTTCAATAAAATTGGTGGAAGGAATAAATAGTAACGATTTTCTAAGACCCCAAAAAATAAATAAAAAAAGATATCATGGATGCATAGATTTGGACCGACTCCATGGAAAACGTCAAAGAGGATGATGAAAGGGGAAGAGGAAACCGACTCCGAGAGTGAATGGAAGGTGTCAGCCAATTCGGAAAATGCGGATCGAAGATTTCACTTTCAGTTCCGAGGGATGGCGTCATCCGTCGCTCGCCCCACACAGCTTTGTTTGTTACGTTTCATTAAATGTTAACCAACTCGTAACATAACAAACATAGGTTTAATGAATTATAAAAAAAAAAGGCACACATAAAATAGATTGGACTGAAGCTATATATAAGATAAGATTGGTGTCATTCGCCGTAACAAAGCCTCGCGTGTGCATTGCGTGGGCACATGCACGTGGATTCCGTAACGTCGCGAATTTCAAAGGCTTATGGGTTCATGAATTTAACAACTTTAGCCTAATAATAACAATATATATGTATATATGATGTAAGAGAGGCCAAGTAAGAAACGGAACACCACATCACACTTTCATGACTTGTAAAAAAGCATATTCTTATGTACAACCAGTCTCCCGAACCACACAGGGGCCTGGACTGGCATTTACCTTTCCTTCCTCTCTTATTCTGCGCCTATTCTACTTTCACTTACACGTTTTTACCTCACGAGAGAGAGAGAGGTTTTTACATGGACGAGACCTCAGACGTGCGGTTTGAGAAAGGGGAGATCCGGGTGAGAGCAGACAAGGGATGCTCGTTCCTGCAAGTGCCTCAAGCTCTTCTCCATGCTAACCTGCACCATTTCGGCCAGCATTTTCTTCGCCTTTCCCGACTGATCTTCTCCGTCTATATGAGATATTATGTTCGTCACTATGTTTTCCAGCGTGTCTGGCTGAAGCTCTGACCTCGAATTCTCTGATTCCCTCAGCAGACACAGAAGCCTTTTAGCCTTTGCCTGAGATTTCGCCGTTCCTTGAACTGTCAGCTCGAGCAGCCCCGGGATTACACCTTCTCTAAGAATCAGCTCTCTGTATCTACTACGATCGCTCTGGCACATTGTCAAAAGCGCACCAACCGCGTGTTCCCGACCTTGTGGAGACCCGTTCTCCAGAATTTCCACAACTGCAAAAATTCCTCCTCCTTCAGAACTCAATGCTGCTCTTCCCTCTTCTGAACCCACCAAGGATTCTATCAGAGAACAACATTTCTCGGCCGTTCTTGATGATTTTTTACAGGACTTTAGAAGATCCAGTATAGATGGGATAGGGTTTGATCCTAGTATCATGCTCAGATTGTTGGAGAGAGTTGAGAGGTTGGAGAGGGCCATCACGGCATCAACCCTGGCTTGGGGGCTTCCATGCGCGACGACTTTAGCGAGAAGAGGGATCGCACCATTTGCACCGATGATAGGTTTGTTGTTAGCAGAGGCAGAGAGAGTGAGTACAGATGCAGCGGCATACTCTTGCAGTGTCGGGCTGTCTGACTGTAAGAAGCTGATAATTGGCTCCAAGGCACCAGCTTCGATGATACTGATCTTATTCCTGAAATATCAACCTTAGAATTAGGAAATTCGGAGAAGAAAAGTTTCAAATATACTATAATATGCCTTATCACCCAAATGCGCCTATATTAACAACCAGCGGAGGAATTTTGATCAATATTGACTAAAAATCCTGTACAAAAGATCATACAAGCAAATACTTCTAAAACTAGCTACGAATATTTTACTCATTATCATCGTGTGTTCATTCTCACCGGCAGAATGCACCAAAATCCAATTTCTTCCAAGTTATAGTTTTTTGACATACATGCCTGAAGAAGTTCAGATCTTCTTTTCACCTCCAAATTCACTTTTGGAGGCCTATCAAATGCAATTCAAGCAAATTTGGTAGAACCACCTACCACCAAGGGGAGGAAAACGAGCAGATCTAGATCCCTTTGTCTTGCCTGCTTCTCTAGATGGATCTCATTATTGTGAATTGATGATTTCAGAGTTTAGACCGAAGAAAAATGAGGAGAAAAGGACTGATGTATCGGCTAAGGAAGATAATCAAGGGACCTAGAAAAGCCTTGGAACTGAAATTGATTCATCAGCAATAGACAGAATTTCTTACTAGAAAATTCACAAATGATTCTTTCACTCTTCTAAAGCAGGGACCTACCGAAATAGAAAATCATAAGGTTAGGTAACTTATCTAAAGTAGGAGTTAATCCAGGTGTTACATTACTCTCCTTAACCCATCAGCATAAATACTGAAGGTGAAAGATCCCTACAAGTTCAATACATCAATCACCTAACATTTCTGATAGCAAACATGCCGTCTTAGAAAATGACCCAACTCACACAAAAGGAAAAAAAAAACAAAGGTTATTCCTGGTCATAGGAACCGAAACAGAGCCATCGGGGATCAGAATGCAATCGCTTCCCCTGCTCGAGACGTCTCACCTTGATTCAACTCGATCTGATTACCCCCATATCTATCCATCAACCGAAAGATTCACCTAATCTTGAGACGAACCAACCTCATTTTGTTAATTCTACTTATTATCTCTCTCCCTCCCCCAACCATGATAAATGATCGCTTTCCTAACAAAGGAGGACAAGAGAGAGTGTAATCCGCAATTCACTATTAACCACCATGGCTGTTTGCATTGAACATGTAAGATCTAACTGCTGAAACTGAGTGGTTCAAGAGGATTTGCAGACAACTCTTAGCAAACAAGATTGCATCTTTTAGGAGATGAGAGCCCTTTACATAACTCTAAACCCTAATTCAGGTGGGTAAACAGCACAGATTCCGGTTCCGAACCATCCAAACACCCACAAATATCAAGAAACGAAGAAGCAAAAGAAAGTATCGGACCTTATCCGCAAACAACCGCCCCTCAGCTAGAATCAAAAGAGAAAAAAGAGTAGGAGCAAAGTTAAAGTATGAAACATGGAATAAAGAAGAGTGTCCATTGGTATACTGTGACGATATATTCTATCCCCAAAATGGATGAGCCCCATGAAGATTGAATTCCCCCACGCAAAAGAAAAGAAATTCCTTCAAAAGGAAGCAAAAGGATAACTATAAAGGAAAAAAAAGATTCAGGAAGCATAGAGTATACTCCAAGCAAAAAAAAAAAAAATGCAACACCAATACACACAGATAAACAGAGAAAAGTTTATCTGTTCTAACACTGGGATGGAGTAATCTGGGCTTAAGCATACACAGGAGATTATAACGTGATTAATTGCACTAATTCTGAATTAGATCAAGAGCCTCGAATTATCACTGATTCTGAATTAAACGGAATAATCGATTTGATTGATCTAATGATAGATGGGGCTAGATTCAAGCAAAATCAGATCGAGAAATGAAACTGGAAAATCCGAATCGGAAAAGGTGGAGGAACGTACCTCTCGTCCTTGACGGCGAGGTTAAGAAGAGCAAGAAGAGCCGCCTCGTGGTGTGACTCGAGCGAGTCGACTCGGAGCATCGAAACGAGCGGTTCCACGGCCTGACTCAGGTGTCGGCGGCACCTCTGTGACGTCTTTGTGAGCCGTCGGATCTCCCTGGCGGCAACCAACCTGGAATCTGGGTCGTCCGATCGGATCAAGCCGAGAGCTCGCTGGACGGCCGCAGAAGACGACGATCCCACCGCCGCAGAAGACGACGCAACGGCCAACGACAGCAACTCCTGGACTCCATCTCCACCGCGTGGCGGGTCGCACTCGAGCGATGACACGGAAGATGAGGAGGAGGAGGCGGAGGATCTGCTCTCTCCGGCGAGGTCCATTTTCCGGAGAAGGTTGGGAGAGATAGAGAGAGGAGATCAATCTGTTGAGAGGTATACGTTAAGAGAGAGAGAGAGAGAGAGAGAGAGAGAGAGAGAGACGTGGGAGGAAGGCGTCGGCTCAACGGTTACATGATACATGTATATACAAGGATAGAATCATGTATCGTATATATAGACCGTTATATAAAAAAAATACATATATTTAAGTTACAACTTACAATCCATACGTTTTTTTTTTATATTATAAAGCATGTTATGAAAATAAAATATTAGATGGGTTCCTCCCGACAAGGCAAAGAGAGCGGATGGACTTTGTTATTTCGGTAGATATTACATAAACCTTTTATAATTAAGAGCAATATAGATACATACACGTAGAAATGATATTATAAGCGGAAGGGACACGAGACGAGATTGTGGTGGCGAACGAACTTCATTATATTTCAAGAAAGATCCACATACCCCATTACATGGATATGGAATCAAGAACAAGAACGTAACAATGGAATCCGAATCCTTCGGCTATTTGTATATATATATATATATGTGTGTGTGCGCGCGTAATAAAATGGAGCTTTTCTGTTGTTGCAAAATTTAGAAAATCTTGGCGACATCCTTCATGAGGCCGCGATTGGCGGCGGCGAAATCGGTGAACTCTTGATAAGAAATGTAACCGTCGCCGTCGGTATCGATCTCGGCCATCATACGCTTCACGTCCTCGCCCGTGACCGACCCAAGTGTCTTCAGGGACTCCCCTAGCTCGGCCGCCGATATTTTCCCGTCACCGTTGGCGTCGAATTTCTTGAAGATACGGTCGTGCTCTGCCTTTTCCCCAGCGTCCGCCATGATCGATGCGACCAGTCTCTGTTGGGCTCTCTCTTTTTTTTTGTTTGTTTGGATTTTGGTCGGTATATGTAAGATGGATGATCGCAAAGTGTTTATGGGGGTCGGACATATATACAGCCATTGTTCGGACATAAGCTTAAGGTTGCGCGTTAAATAAGGGGGATTCAGACAAAACATGTGAAGTTGCAACAGAGTTTACCAAAATTAGGACTTGACTCGATCTTCCAAATGCCTCTCATACAAACATTTTAAAATCCATATGGATTTTCTATTGAACATCAAAAAGTGAAATAAATGTTGGTGTTCCATGAGATTTATAAATCATAACTATTCATAGGGATTTGACTGCAGACACCCTTTGAGCAAACAAGTCAAATGATTTCTAACATGTTTCAGAAATCATGGATGGGATTCTTATTGAACAGCAAAACTAATGAGAAAAGAGTGACTCACATGTTTCAATCGAGTAAAGCCTAATGTCTCTCAAGATCCATTGGTTCAGGGCACAAACTTGACCAGATTCTTGGCAACTGTCCGGCCAAAAAACCAAAACCCATGATAGGTTAGCACCAAATGAAGGAAACCAAATGTTTTCTTTCTCGTTCTTTCGATCTCAGAAGAGGAACATGATCAGGTAACTTCATAGTGTAAGTGAATGGGCAGAGAGAGCATATTCATAATACCTCTAGGGAGCTCTGTCAAAAGGCTTAGTGTCGTTGTAACAAATGTCCCATATTGCTTCCATTGCATCTTTGGATGCTGCTTCTGTGCAATTTGGATTGTTACGCATCGACATCATCACCCTTCTTTTTATACAATCCTTTCAGAATTTGAAGGGGAAAAAACATGTCAAGAATCACAGGAGAGACTAGCAGCATTTCACATATGGACAGACGAAAACATATTTGATGAAATAATCATTGTCAAGGCGATGAATCCAGAAATTTCCAAAGTTAAGCATGTAACTCCCACATAAAATGAGAGTTTGCCGGTATTACTACTTTGAAATTCGGAAGAGAGAACATGTTATTAACATATAAATGTTTCAGAATAACAACTCACTTGTTCATGCCCTCTCATGTCTAGATAACCCCGCAAGAGTTCCCGCTTGAAATGACAATCGCCACTTAGATGATTTGCACGTATCTGTTAAAAATAACATTATGAGATACCAGATGTTTGGCATGTGTGTGTGTATATATATATATGTCTTGAAGACATATCTAGCATCGTTATCACCTCACTGCAAGAATGATGAGCACAATTCAACCAATCCAAATTCTTGGCACGACACTCATCATATGCATGGATTAGCTCGTGTATGACGACTTGGTTCACCTCATCTTGTATCGTCAAATAGTTACTACAGACTGTAATCTTGAGACAGGAACAAAGGAGATATAGACAACAATCAGAAACAACATGAACAACAAAGCATCAATGGAAAAGAAGACAGGGCACAATACTTGTGGTCATATCGGATTAGAAAGAATTAAGAATGTTATACGCCATATAAATGCGTGGATGCACAAACCATACTGTGATGATTCATGCTCTGGATAGATTATCAAAGAAGGCACATACATGATCAAGTAGGGAGACTCAGTAACTTGAATCGAATTCAAGAACATCTGATGAAGTAGAGTCCAAGAAATATGGTTTACCCCTTCTCCTGCGGTGTAGCCCCCGGCTATAGGCCCCTTGCAAACAACTGCGTTGATGAAATTAGCCCCCACTCTGCATCCAGATTTCTCCATTTGCTCAATCAGAAACTTCACTTTTGGGTCTAACCAAACACAAAACGAAACAAGTATGAAAATGGGTAAGACACGTTTAAAATTAAATCCATCGTGTCATGCAAAACAAGGGATTATAGTTTACTCTAAACACGAAGTTTCAAGAACCCTAATCACCATAAACCCCAAAATCGAAGTCCTAAATGAGGGGGGTAAAGGAACTTAAAAAATTTCATGACAAAATTTGGTGAATTTCAAATGAAAGCAGGAAATTCCGAAAAAAAAAACGTAAAATTGATCGATATCGCGAGCTTCGAATAACGAACAGTGTAAATTTTCCAAACAATAAAAAAAACAGCAAACAAAACACATGAAACAGGGAAATGAACGGAAACAAAGGACAAGAGATACTAAATTCTCGTACTTCGGAGACTTCTGCGAATCATGTTCTGACATTCCTCGATTGAACTTCCGCGTTGTCCATCACCGAACCGGCTGGATCCGATGGTCGGAGATGTATCATCTTCCATTCCGAAGTTCTACTTCGCTCCTACTCGTACTCGATCTGTCTGAATCCTGCCAATTCGAGTGGATGGATGTGCCTGGTCGTGTGGATCGATGTTCGGCTAGGGTTTGAGGAAGGGGTTTAATGCTGAAACTACATAACCACCCTTGTCTAAGAAGAATATTTACGAAATTATCCCATATACCATGGAGTCCAACAATATCAGGCCATCAGCCTAGCCTCTCTCTAACAATACGTTGAAATTTTGCGTAGTTACCGAAAACTCTCTACATTTTATTAAAAGAAATCCGTATTTTACGTACAAAAAAAATATTTTTAGCTGATTTCAGAGTAGAATTTATATTTGTTATTTATATTTATATATTAGATCATTATAAAGTTCAGCTAGATCAAATTTTCTCTATATATATATTATAAATTAAAACCATGTGATAAATCTTCAGGGCTATTTAACTTATACTGCGAGACGTATAGATTGAGACCAATTGATCTATAGCTTTTTATTGTCGATGCTTTATTGGAAAATTTTATATTTCATTCTGTATTCATTTTGGTTTTCCATTTCGATCTTAGGATTCTATAAGTAGAGTTAGAAATTTATACCTATACATAGCAGAATTTTATATTGAATAATAAAGAAAAAAGTAATTTAATTATATTTTGAGCTTTTCATACTTTAAATATACAGAAATGAATCATGTAACTATTCAGGGAGAACCAAATAAATGGCGATATGAATGAATGCTGAAACCCTTTGGGCAAACAAGTCAAATGTTTCTTACATGTTTCAGAAATAATGGGTGAGATTCTTATTGAACAGGCGCAAACTAATGAGAAAAGTGACTCGCATGTTACAGAGGAGCAAGCCTAATTGTCTCTCAAGATCCATTGACTCAGGACACAAACCAAGACAAAGATTCTTCATTCTTGGCAACCGTCCGGGACAAGAATCCAAAGACCATAATAGGTTGGCACCAAATGAAGGAAAATGAATGCTTTCTTTCTCATCCTCTCGGTCTCAGAAGAGGAGCATGATAAGGTAAATTTCAAAATTTGAGGGAATGGGCAGAGAGAGCACATTCACCATGATACCTCTAGGGAGCCCTGTCAAAAGGCTTAGTGTCGTTGTAACAAATGTCCCATATTGCTTCCATTGCATCTTTGGATGCCGCTTCTGTGCATTCCGGATTGGCACGCATCGACTTCATCACCCTTCTTCTTATACATTCCTTTCATAATTTGAAGGGAAAAAGCATGTCAAGAATCACAGGAGAGACTTGCAGCATTACACATACGGACAGGCAGAAATATATTTCGAACTGCATTCCTCTTCACTATAGGAGAATAATTGTTAATGAATTAACTTCGATGAAACAATCATTGTTAACCCTGAAATGAGGCGATAAATCCAGAAATTTCCAGAGTTATGAATGTAATTGTACCAATAAAACCCCATTACTCCCACATAAAAAAGAGAGCTCAACAGGTATTATTACTACTTTGATACTTGGAAGCGAGAGAACACGTTGTTTACATATCAATGTTTCAGAATAACCACTCACTTGTTCATGCCCTTTTATGCGTAGAAATCCCCGCAAGAGTTCCCGCTTGAGATGACAATCACCACTTAGATGATTTGCACGTATCTGTTAAGAATAACATTATGAGATACCAGATGCTTGGCGCATATATATATATATATATATATATATATATATATATATATA